TATAGCTGTTAATAAATTTTGCAAAATTCTTGAAACATTTGACATAAAAGGAAAAAAAATCGGTAAACAAATAACTAAATGCAGCTTTATTGAAATTAGAAGAAAACCCGCTATTAATGATCAATGGAAATCTCATAGTTACACCGATTATTTGATTAAGACAAAAGGGAATAAATATTATAGATTTTTTTTTCACTGATGTAAAGAAATTATATTGTTGACTGAAGTTGGCGATTATCATCAGTTGTTATTTAGTGGTAAATTTTAACAAAAAATTCTAAATCTCAAACAACAATGGTTTTGCAAAAGCGCTTAAATAAATATCGATTAAACCAAAGAAAAAAAAAAAAGAGAAGAATTCGACGTTTAGTCAAACCAAATTGAGAATTATAGAAAGTCTAATAACATTAAAGAGGCTAAAACTGGTTTTGAAGACCGATTTTTTTCCTTTGTTGTTATGCTGTTGACATCACAGTTGATGCTTATAAAAGTCAAGAAAAATTAAATGAATATTGGTTTGCAGTTTTAAGGTCATCGCTTGAAATTGACCTTAAAGTACTTGTTGTTAAGACTGAAAGCCAAAAATCAAGTGTCCTCATTTGATCATCATTATCGTCATCATCATCAGCACCAACAACGGCTGCAGTCTTATTGTCGTTCTCTTTCTCCTCCTCCTTCTTCTTCTTCTTCACCACTTCCTCCTACTCCGCCTGACCACCAACATCACTAGAAAGCAGTGCGGAAAGAAGAAGAAGAAGAAGAAGAAGAAGAAAAAGAAGGAGAAGAAGGAGACGAGGAAGAAGGAGAAGAAGAGGAACAAAAAGAAATTTTGCATTAATCGATCTATAAACCATCATAACTGGTTCAATCTATCAGCTTTTTCTTTTTTGCCTTTGCACTAAAATGCGCCCCGCAATAAGTTTTTACCAAAAATTTCAAATGCATCAGTGTCTAGAAATAAAAAATTGTTTTTTAGTTTATGACATTTTCAAAAAAAAAAAAAAAGTCTCTTCGCAAAAAGGAAAAAAGAAAGCTGTCTTTTTTCACTTTTACAGTTAAACTTATTTGAAACCTTATCAACCAGTAATTATGTTAATTATTGAAAAAGAAGAAAAAAAACTTAATGCAACAATTTCAAAATTTTATCTCCTTTTCTTGACAAATTAATGACAAAAAAAAAAAAATTTTTCTGCGAAAGGAATGAATATCTGCTGGAATTTGAAATTTTAAAACCCTCAGAAATATTTACTGCAAAAAAAAAGTGAGAGAAGGAAATGCTGCAAAAGTGTTGCAACAAAATGGTGTTAAAAAAATACACTTAAAAGCCAAAAATTTAAAAGAGCCACAAATTTTGATGTTCGACATTTCACCAAAATAAACAGTTTTTTACTTGTTGCCTTTAACTGTTTCTAAAAAATAGAATCTAAAATAGAATCTTTTTTAAATTTAAAAAAAAACGCAATTTTTCCGCTTTTATTATAAGACTAAAAGCAACAAATTTATGAATTATTAAACTAGTAAGAAAAGAAAAAAAAAATAAACTGGCAATAGTTAGACGAAAAATATACTGAAAAAGAAAAAGTGCAAAAAATTAATTGAAATATAAATCATCAAGTAATTTTTTCAAAAAAAAAAAAA